CTTTCTTCACCACATTTGCTTATTCACCGCTTTGTCTTCAGCGGTTGTGTCGGGAAGCATCATAGAATGCCAATTTAATAGAAGAAAGTATTCTTGCGTTGAGGGAGTCCTTGAGTGGAGGCCCTTCAGTGGAGTGTCCTTCTGCTCCTAGTAGCTATCTTATGAATATTTTTTAACAAGAGAACAATGTTTCTCTAGAACTAGTACTTAGTCACCTGATTAAGAATACACTAGTGATCAGAGGGGGCTTGCTGGTTCACAGGTAAAGCTATGTTCTGATAGGACAACATTCTGAATGGAAATGGCAAATCCTGGGACCTGGTAGAAAATCAGTGTCCTGTTGCTTTGCAGAGATATTGGGGCTCATCCATCTGCAATCACACTTATTTTTCGAATACGTTCCTTACTTCACTAGGCGACTTTCACTCCTGGTTTTTCTCCCTTGCAATTCCCTTTGCGGTCTCTTCCTTTTCTTCCTCACCAGCCAGTGTTGGGCACCAGAGTTCACGCCTTAACCCCCTCCAATTTTCTATTCACAACATTCATTTAAGAATTTGTCCCTGCTGGATCCATGGCCTGAAATCACATCTATGTGCTGATGACCCTTAATTGATATTTTACATATCTCCCGCCTGTCTTCTTACTCTAGAATCATCTATTGAATTGCCTCCTTGAAAACACCATTTGAATATGTAGTTTGTGTTGTTCTAAGGTAATGTGGAATTGATTTTAAACCCATAGCCACCCTGTGTGACAGAGTAGAGTTGCCCTATAGGCTTTTCTGGACTATACCATTTACTGTGAGTCGGAATCGACTTGACAGCAAAGGGTTTGGAGTTTTTTAACTTTGCGTGAGCTGATTGCCAGGTCTTTCCTCCGTGGAGCCACTAGGTGATTTCAAATTGCCAACCTTCTCATCAGCAGCCAAGAGCTTACCTTTCGCACTACCAGAGCTCCTTATAGGATTTGTAGTACCAAACTGCCTATAGCTTTGAGTGACTCCATACAAGAGAGTAGAACTACCCCATAGGGTTTCTAAGGTTGTAAATCTTCTCAGAGTCAGCCAACTCTTTTGTCCCTCAGAGCCACTGGTAGTTTGAAAATGGCAACACCAGAGAACATAGTTAGGTTTCTTGTGCCAACCTGGCCAATGAACACATGTGAGATTAATTGAAGGGCTGTTTCATTGAAGGGCGGAGAGATAAATGGCTCGGCGAGCATCGCCTTTCTGTATCTTGCTCTCTAATGGTCGGACCACTTGTGGCTGCCTTAGCTAGTTCTCTGCCTCAGCTGACAAGGTTCCCTTCTTGTGAGACATCCCCGAGGAGAAGCCACATGGACCTACCCTGATGCAGCCCTGGGTGCTGGAGAAACTGCGTGGAGACCCCTGCCAGCACTGAGATGCTGACACTGCCAATGAATTCAAAGACTTTCTACCCACTGGCCTGTGATCGTCCTACATTCAGCATCATTGCATGTGTTTTGTGAGATTGAGGTCGGTGTCAGACATATGGGCTAATGTCGGACTTATGGGCTTGGACTGGACTGGGTTGGGATGCTTTCTTAATGTACTTAGCCTTTGTATAAAACTCTCTCTTATTCACATATGAGTTTCTGTGGATTTGTTTCTCTAGTCTACCCAGACTAACCCAGACACGTAATCAGCATCTCAAATTCTCCATCACCAAAGCAGAACTTCTGGTTTTCTCTAGGAAAGCTGATCCACCCCTACAATTCTCTATTTCAGTCAACGGCACCACTCGGGAAGCTAGACTGAAACTTTGGGCTAGCACGCTTGATCCTCAGTCACTGCCCACCAAATCCCATAGGCAACTCCATCCACTGTCTTCAGAACGTTTCACACATCGTTCCACCTTCTCTGCCAAGACCACCTGTGTCGGAGCCGCTATCATCACTTGCTCGACTCTTCACTGATCTCACCCTTGCCCACTTCCTTCTCCCTGCCTCTCATCTACTCTGGCAACACTGCCAGTGTGAACTTTTAAAAAATTGAACCACTCCCTCTCCTGGGTGAAATTCTCCATTACTTGCTGCCAGACTTGAAATCTATGATCCTATAGGGCCCTGTATGACCCGGCCTTTGGAACACAGAATACCTTCTCTCTTTCTACTCTATACCTAACCACTGAGCTCTGTGTACAAGAGCTGTATCTCAGATACATGCAGCTCTCTGCTACTGGCCTACAGCCAGCCTTTGGCTCTTGCTTTACCTCTTTCTAGAGAGTTTGTGCCCAAGTCTTTGAATGGCTTTGCCTAGATTCACTCAACCAGACTAAAAACCACTGCCAAAGAGTTGATTCCAATTACCCTATGGGGGTCCTAGACTATAAATCTCCCCTCACCCCCCGCAATAAGACTATAACTCCTTACAGAAGGAAACAGACTCATCTTTCTCTTGTGGATCTCCTGGTAGATATGAACCACAGACCTTGAAGTTCACTGCCTAACACCTAACCCACAGTGCCATTGAGGCTGTACATAAATGCCATTCTCAGAGAAACTATCCTTGATCTGCACCGATCTAAAATATCTACCCCAGCTAGTCACTCTCCATCATTCTCTTTGTCTTCTTACACTTACTACTTCCCGAAATTAAACTCTATTTTTTAGAAAACTGCCACTTTGTTCATGATGGATTTTCTGTAAACACTGTCCTATTTCTCCCAGTGGAGGAAAGTTAAGGCGTGTTTGCTGGTAGTAAACCTTGAGCCATCGCTAGTTGATGGAGATAGGAATTCACTAGGCCTTAAATGAGAGATATTGATCTCTATCTTCCCTATTTAAGTCAGAAGTGATATCAATGTCAACCCTGTAGATGTGAACTTTCTCTGAAGTCTTTGTTGTTAGTGGTCACAGTAGACTGGGATTCATGATGACTCAATGTGTGCAGAATAGAACTGATCTGCAGGGCTCTTCAAATGGTCATTGCAAAGTTAAGGCTGTGGAGTACAGAGTTATTGATTTCATCCATTAAACTATATCATCGGACTTCATTTTTACCAGAAAAAATAAATGAAGATAGTCCTCTCTCCAATCTGCTGACCCCTTTATCTCTCACTAATTCAGGACTCCAGTTAGGTACAAAGATGCTTGTATTGGATCCCCTCAGAACCTCAAGAAATTGTTCTACTTAGTTACTTTTGACTCTCATCCACAACTGGAGTTTAAGCCTATGAGTATTGAGACTTTACCACATGTGGCTCCTGGAAGAACGCCTGGTATTTAAGACCAGCTGCTGTTGGGCCAAGTCCAACTTACAACCACCCTGGAGGCCAGAAGGGAGCTGTTCCTGAGGGTTCCTGAGCCGTGACTCATCACTGAAGCGCACTGCCTCCCTCAGTTCGCTCCTGGAGCGATGGGTGGTCTCACATGCTGACCTTGTTTGTGATTAACAGCCAAATACATAACCCATGCCACTACCAAGGCCCCCTTGGTATATACTAGATACTTAAAAACACTTACTGAATATAAGAAAAGTCTCTAACACCCTCTTCAATGACATTAACAGTATAACATGACAATAACTTTTGAGGAAAAATATCTAAAATGTGACAAGCCTATTTACTGATGTTATTGTTACCTTTCTATAGACATTTATAAGATATGCAAAACAAGGCTTGAAAAAAATCTATCAAGATATCAATATAGAATATAACCACTTCTTGCCATACCTCTAACACCCCACAGCATTTCTCACCTGGACCACTGCAGGGACCACCTAACTGGTTGACTTCTTCCCATCCCTCTATATTTATCCTCAACACAGCAGCATGTGAATCGGATCATGTCATTCTCCCCTTCAAATCTCTGTATGGACTCCTTATTCCACTCAGAGTAAAAGTCTCAGTGTTTACAAAGGCCAGTCCCCACTGTGATGTGGCCCCTCCCTCTCTCTGACCTTATCTCCTCCTGGTTTCCCCTCCCTCCCGCCACCCAACCACACTATTCCTGGAGCAGGCCAGGAATGCTCAAGGTCTCCACGGGAGCTGTCCGGCTTCTTGAAATACCATGTCTCAAGTATGTGCTAAGTTCACTCCCTCCCCTCCTTCAAGTGTTTGCTTCAGCTCAGTGAGGTTTATTCTGATCACCTAGGGTTTTTTAAAATACTAAGAGTCCTTGGGTGGTTCAAACAGCACACTCGGCTCAAGTCCTCCCAGAGGCACCTTGGAAGAATGGCCTAGCAATCTACTCCCCAAATTCAGGCACCGGAAGTCCAGTGGAGCACAATTGAACTCTAAAACACAGACCACCATAAAGCAAACCAGCTCAATGGTTGTGTGTCTCTATTTTTAATTTAATACAGCTATAGGCTGTTCCTAACTCCCTCACACTGTTCCCAGTCCCCTAAAGAACAGACCTGCTCAAAATGTTCTTTTTACAGCAGTACCTAACACCTTGTCACGTACAATGTGTTTTCCACCTGAGTAGGGTTCTTACTGTATATACGTATAAGCTGAATATCAGCCTAATTTTACCACAAAACTGCATAAAACGTGCTGGAAAAAGCTTATACATGAGTATACGGTTGTCTGTCTTAGTCACAGAAGTATCCTGAACACTTGTACAGCACTACTTGGCACACTGAAGGTAACAAATGATGAAGGAATAAATTTATCACCTTGTCCAACATAGAAATGAACGAAACCCAAACTTTGGGTCAACATCCTTATTTCGTAGGTGACATGTGCAAGCCGTACCTCCATGAGAATGCGTCCTGTAGCTAGGACTTGCGGCAGAGTACAGTTGCAGCTGGGCCGTGAAGATCCAAACCACTCGGAACACATATTCAGTGAAGGGATGGAGGGGCTCTACCACATATGAGAGCTTGGACACTGCCTAGATCAACGAGAGGGTCAATACTCAGTGAGGATGGGATGACTGTTATACATGGTGACTCCAAAGTACAGGTTAATTTAGAAAAATGAAATAGCCTTTTGGATCTTGGGCCACCAAGAGCCTACTAGACCTATGAGATGTTGGCGATTATAGATGAGCCACCTAGATGTCAGTCTGCATCATTTCCACAGAGAAACACATCTTCAACAGAACAGAATGTGTGGGTTTATATTTGGCAAATACCTCAAGACTTCCCTTTAATTTTTCTTTATTAATACTATGCTTGACAGCTTAGGGATATTTTCCTCTGAACTCACTCATGTCTTTTAACATAAGGACAGCCCTAGACAGTCTTAGTTTCTTAGGGCTGCTGTAACAGAAATACCACTGTGGTGACTTTAACAAACTGATCTTTATTTTCTCATGGTTTAGGAGGGTAGCTATCTGACATCAAGGTGCAGGCTCCAGGGACAGGTCCTCACTACCCGCTCTGGAAGAAATCCTTGTCTTAGCTTCTCCAGGCCTGGCCTTTCTCAGTTCCTTGGCAATCTCCATGTGGCATTTGTCTTTCCCCATGTAAATTTGCAATTTTAATATCTCAAAAAAGATGAAGTTTAAGACACACCTTACCAGTGTGTGCTGGTCTCATTAGCATAATAATCATCTCCTATTTCCAATTTGGATCAATTCATAGCCTGGATGATAACCCTAATAATTAACCCTTCTCTATGTGAACAATCACCTGTGAGCATCTTCTCCCTGCCTTCTATCCTTACTCACTGCCATTTGTAGGTGGTTGCCAAAACAACCCTATAGAGGAGGGTAGAACTTCCTGTGTAGCTTTCTGAGACCCTAACTCTTTACAGGAGTAGCAAGTCTCATATTTCTTCTGCAGAGCTGGTGGTTTCAAACTGCTGACCTTGAGATTAGCAGCCCAACATGTAACCACTACACCACCAGGGCTCCCTGCCTTCCACCCTAGCTGGAAGCATTTTAGGGGTATAGGCAAATAATGACCACTTGGGTGAGTGGTCATGGGTTGATGTGCTCAAGAAATAATATATATGTACAATATTATACTTTCCTTATAAAATGAAGCATTAACATTTTGAATGGTAGCTGAGAATAAACAAAGTTCATGTAATCCAATCGCCCACCTTGTCCTTGAATATTCTCTCAAATATCTTTATACATGTAATTATATGTAGTTAATTGGCAGTTTTAGTCATCAGAAGAAGGGGATCTGCATTGATGTATATAGAAAGCTTTTCATACCTCAGTAAAAGTCCAGCTTCCTGGTAATTTTGTATATTTCCACTGAATGATGTACTTTACTCCAGAAATATTGGCGGATTTCCATCTTAATGCTACACTGTGGTTTCCAATAGAAGCAGCAAAGGGCGGAGTGGGAAGATATGAATTTTCTGGGGAGAAAACAAGATTTTATTCACCTTGCACCCTGTCTCCCAAATTTGGTGTGCCTAGTGCTCTCAGCATTTGCTCGCTTGCTACAACTGCATATTGTTGCAATAGTTGCTCTGAACAATGAAGGATGTACATATTCAGCTGGTGGTTTTAAAAATCAACCAATTATTCTTGCACTTCCCTGCCTTCCCTGACCTCACCACAGCCCCTGCCCAGAGAATTCTCAATTATTTTTACGGTTTTCTTTCGATTGTTCTTGTTTAACGGGAAGAAAGATGGCATGATGCAGCATCCTAAGACTATCTAATGGTGACCAGCTGCCATTGAGTTAATTCTGCCTTTTGGCACTCTTCTATCACTGTAAATTGTGCTTATTTAAATAAAAGGGCTTTTATTAGCTGAATTAAGAATTAGATCACCAGGCTTTTCTGCTGAGCATCTCTGTGTAGACTCAAGTCTCCCACCTTTCCATTAACAGTCAAGTGTGTCACCCATTTGCACCACCCAGGACCCCTCTGTGATCTAAGTTCCTTACAGAAACTGGAGGTGAGTGCAGTGAACTTGTTTGTGACCCAGCAGCAGCCAACCATTGCCTCAGAACAGGTATCTAAGATCTTTCTGAAAATATGCCTTATTTCTGCTGGTAATCCCCATCTTGTCAGCACATTTTATTTCATCCCAACAGCTGTGTTGGCATATAATTCACGTATCATACAATTCGGTACTTCGGTCACATCAAGAAGAGTTGTACAATTATCACCACCATCAGTTTTAGAACATTTTCTTCCTTCTTGCATTCATCGTTACTAGCTCCCCATTACACCCCCACCTCCCCTGCCCTACCCTCATGGAACCGTTAATCCAGTTACTGTCTCTATCCTAGATTTCATATAGAGAAAAACATAAAAAAATGAAAAAACTAATAAGAATAACAAAATGAAACTGATAAAAACATCAATAGAAAAGAAAGCCAAAAATATTAAAAACTAGAGCAGATATAAATGGATCATAAGGGAAATCAAAGGATAGGGTGGTAAATTTTAACGTAACAACATTTGCAACAATCTGCTTTCCAGTACATTCTGCGCATTAGTAAGGCGATTCACCTACTGTGGGAGTTACATAATCTGTTGCCAACTCGAGACTATTGAGAGTGAAGGGGTGGAGTTTAGCCTGTCAATCAGGTTGCTGATTGATGACCTCATTGGGAGGTGCTACGGAGATAAATAGCTTGCTGGAGGTGGGACATACACACTCTTTGCTTGGTATTCCTGTGGACCAGCCACATGGAGACACACTAATGGAGCCAGAGCCCTGGAGCTGCAGGAGCCACGTGGAGACTCACACCTGTGCTAAGATCCATCCACCACCACTGGATCAACAAGACTTTCCAGCCACTGGCCTGTGATCTTCTTGCATTCAGCATTATTGCATGGCTGTGTGATTCTAAAGAGGAATTTATGAACTAGTGTGGACATAAGGGCTTATTGGACTTATGAGTTTGACCTGGACTGGGCTGGGATAATTTCTTAATATACAATTGTCCTTTGATATAAAATCCTCTCATCTATATATATATTTGAGTGTCCTGGATTTGTTTCTCTAGTCAACCCAGACTAACACACCCACTATATTTAATATGCACAAAGTGTATATTTAAATTTAAAGAACTCTGAATCTGGCTATTTTATACAAAACTATTTCAATACTACTAAACATTATTATCATTACAGTTCATAGCACATATTTCATTGGATACCACCTGCCAGACACAGTACAAGATTCTGCTCATATTGTACCACTGAGAGATGTCCCCATACTCTGGCTAATTTATTGCTTCAATTCGCTTTTGCTATGGAAAAAAAAAGAACTCTGTAGTTGAGAAACTGTGGTGATGTTGGGAGGAAATTTAAAACGATAAAACATAAATTCCCATGATTTCCTTCTTTCTGGTTATAAGAAAAGTTGCTGCCATTCTGATTGCTGCAGATGCTCAATCTGACTAATTAAAGTCTATCCTACTAAATTATTCCATGGCCCAGAACAATGAAAGCCAGTCATGGGAGGACTGAGTATACAGAGGTCTAGCACAACCCTTCTTTGTTCACTCTTCTATTTACAGTTAATCTTTTGGCTACCTCTCATTCTACAGAGGAAAAGAAGATCTACACCCTTCCACTCCCTAACTTTGTGGCCTGAGACCCACAATAGCAGAGCTTTAAATAAGTTGTGAAACCCAATGATGACGTTATCAGCAGAATGAAGGAAAAGATCCAGGAGGGATCAGAAAAGGCAAAATTGAGAACTGGGTAGAAAGGTCCAGAGTTGTATAAGCACAATTTAAATGTAAATTCCATAACTAAATATCTACATGTTTTTAAATCCATAGTTAGGCATAGGTTAAAACAACAGATAAAGTTGATTTTTTTTCCTAAAATACCAAGGGAAGAGTAAATCAAATGAGACAGAGAAACTTGACTGGCTGTGTAATACTTCGGCTACATAATATGTAGAGTGCTTACAGAAAAGATAAGGCTCCTGAATCAGACATTATACTTCCCGTTATAATCTTTTTTAGCTATGTGATCCCAACTAAGAATTTAAAATCTATCTGCCTGAGTTTCCTCATCTGTAAAACAAAGTTAATAATATCACTTATACTCCTGGGCAAAAAAAGAGCGGATATCCACAAATTATTTAAAACCGTGCCTGAGTCATAAACGTCAAATAAATATTAATTACTTCTATTTCAATATATGATTAGCTATCATCATTCTGGTTTAATCACCTGAATTTCAAGGACATATGAAGAATAGATTTGACTTCTTGAACACAAATGACAGGAGAGCCGATGGCATCAGGATGATAAAGAAGAAAGGTGAAGGTCATTAAAAGGAGAGGAAAGACATGAAAGAGCAAGTGGAGATCAGGAAGACTCTGAAACTTGCTCTTGATCAGAGAGTAGCCAAGACATACGGAACAAATAATGTAGCAAAACAGCTGAACATAAACTTTCAAAGGGCAGCTTAAGAAGTTAAAGTAAACTACTATAAGGGAACATACCTGGAGTTAGAAAACCAAAAATGAAAAACACACTTAGCATACATCAAGCCAAAAGGACTGAAGAAAAACTTCAAGACTTGAGTTGCAATATTAAAAGATTCTATGTGCAAACTATTGAAAGATTCTGAATGCGTCAAAAGAAAATGGAAGGAAAAAAGAGTCACTGTACCAAAGAGAACTGGCTGACATTCACTCAAGAGGTAGCATATGGTCAAGAATCAGTGGCACTAAAGGAAGAAGTACAAGTTTCCCTGAAGGTAAGGCTCCAGAAATTGATGGAACACCAATTGAAATGTTTCTACAAACTGATAAAGCACTAGAAGCACTCACGCATCTATGCCAAGAAATTTAGAAGCGGTCCATATATTTTTTTTCAGGTTTTAGCCACTAATAATTTGGGAGAATTCCGCCCACGAGTTAGCCAACGTCCCACAGGCCACGTGATGAGCAGAGGTCCATATTTTTAACTCATTCCAAATAAAGGTGACCCAACAGAATATGTAAATTATTAAACAATATCTCATGCAAGTAAAATTGTTGCTGAAGATCATTCACCAGTGGTTGCAGCAGTACCTCGACAGTGAGCTGCCAGAAATTCAAGCAGATTCAAAAGAAAACACGACAGGTGGGATATCATCACTGACGTCAGGAGGAGGAGCTCGGCTAAATGGAAGGGATACCACAAACTGTTTACTTTAGTTTTGTCGACTATGCAAAGGCATTTGACTTGTGTGAATCATAACAGACTATGGATAGCATTGGGAAGACTGGAAATTTCAGAATAATTTCTTATCCTACATCCCCTTATGGAAAGGTCGTGGGGAGGAGACAAGCCAGTCAGGGTACAGCGTAGCAACGATGAAACATACAACTTTCCTCTAGTTCCTAAATGCTTCCCTTCCCCCCACCTCACCCCACCCCCACTATCATGATCCCAATTCTACCTTACAAATCTGGCTAGACCAGAGGATGTTCACTGGTACAGATAGAAACTGGAAACGCAGGGATTCCAGGGCAGATGATCCCTTCAGGACCAGTGGTGAGAGTGGCGACACAGGGAGGGTAAAGGGAGGGTGGGGTGGAAAGGGGAAACCGATTACAGGGATCTACATATAACCTCCTCCCTGGGGGATGCACAACAGAAAAGTGGGTGAAGGGAGACGTCGAACAGTGTAAGATAAGACAAAATAATAATTTATAAATTATCAAGGGTTCATGGGGGAGGGGAGAGGAGGGAGGAAGGGGGAAGAAATGAGGAGCTGATGCCAGGGGCATGAGTGGAGAGCAAATGTTTTGAGAATGATGAGGGTAATGAATGTACAAATGTGCTTTACACAATTGATGTATGTATGGATTGTGATAAGAGTTGTATTAGCTCGAGGCAGTTATTCCAACCCAAGAAGGGAATGTTGCATGGTTTTAAATTGCAAAGGTGTACATCAGGGTTGTATTTGTACTGTTTTCTCTGACATTGTTTTTTCTATCTGTATTCTTAGCAAATAACCTGAGAAGTTAGACTATCTGAAGGAAAATGTGGCATCAGCATTGGAGGAAAGCTTAGTAACACCCTCCGACATGCAGAGGACACGACCTTGCTCACTGAGGAGCACTTGAAGCACGTCGTGATGAAGGTCAGAGACTGCAGCCTTCAATATGGATGACAACAACGTAAATAACCAAGGTCCTCACAACCAGGCCAGTAGGCACCACCATGAGCAATGGAGCAAAGACGGCAGTTGTCAAGTGTTTCATTTTGCTTGAAACCACAGTCAATGTTCAAGCAGCAGTGAGTGAAACCACCCATTGCATACAGTAAACCTGCTGTCCCAAATCTCTTCAAAGAGTTGAAGAGCAAGGATGTCACTATGGGGACTAAGGTGTGCCTGACCCACACCCATTGTCTCATCTGCATGTGAAAGTTGGAAATTGAATGGGG